ATATATTTTTATTGATTTCAGAGAGGAAGGGAGAAGGAGAGAGAGATAGAAACATCAATGATGAGAGAGAATCATTGATTGGCTGCCTCCTGCATGCCCCCTACTGGGGATCAAGCCTGCAATGCAGGCATGTGCCCTTGACCAGAATCAAACCTGGGACCCTTCAGTCCGCAGGCCAATGCTCTATCCACTGAGCCAAACCGGCTAGGGCAAGAAAAACTGTTTTAAATGTAATAATGTTACATGCAATAGACATTAATATTTCAAGAAAAAAGATTTTAAATATAATAATATTACCAAAGCTGTACTAACATAGTATAGTATAATATCACAAAAGTTGTAGGAAATATTAAAAATCTGCAAATAACAGGATTACTTCTATTATATTTTAACATTTTTTTCCTCTGGCTCTATTTTGGTTCATCAGTTTATGTTGTTCATTATATTCCACAAATGAGTGAGATCATGTGATATTATTATTTTTTTTAAAGAATATTTTAAAAATTGATTTCAGAGAGAGGAAGGGAGTGGAAAAGAGTGATTGAAACATCAATGATGAGAGAGAATAATGGATCAGCTGCCTCCTGCATGTACTCTTCTGGGTATCGAGCCCAAAACCCAGGCATGTGCCCTGACTGGGAATTGAACATGGGTCAACACTCAACCACTGAACCACACTGGCCAGACATGACATTTTTTATTGGCAGCTTTTTATTTCTTAGGGTTACATACAATGGTGATGAGATAAGAAAGAGTAACTACATTTATTGCCTATTTATCATGTATCAAGCACTGAGATAAGCAATTTTTGGACATTATTTCATAGAATCCTCCCATGAACCCTATGAAGGTGGCATTTTCAGTTTTGTGGGAGGCTTAGACTCAGAGTGTTATTAGACTTATCCCAAGATCACAAGTTGGCAAGTGTTAGAGTTGAGATTTGAACACAGATCAGGATGGCTTTATTGTAATACTAGAGGCCCCGTGCACAAAATTCATGCACGGGGGTGGGGGGTGTCCCTCAGCTCGGTCTGCACCCTCTCCAATCTGGGACCCCTCGGGGGAAGTCTGACTGCCAGTTTAGGCCCGATCCCGCTAAACTGGCAGTCGGACATCCATCTCACAATCTGGGACTGCTGGCTCCCAACTGCTCACCTGCCTGCCTGCCTGATTGCTCCTAACCACTTATTCCTGCCAGCCTGATCACCCCCTAACCACTCCCCTGCTGACCCGATTGAGCCCAACTGCCCTCCCCTGCAGGCCTGGTCACCCCTAACTGCCCTCCCCTGCAGGCCTGGTTGCCCCCAACTGCCCTCCCCTGCTGGCCTGGTCGCCCCTAACTGCCCTCCCCTGCCGGCCATCTTGTGACCACATGAGGGCGGCCATCTTGTGGGTGGGAGTGATGATCAATTTGCATATTACCTCTTTATTATATAGGATGAGCCTTTGGATTCTCCATCTGATTGTCCCTCAGCTTGCTATGGTCATAGAATAGTTTACAAACCTTTAAATTCTGGTGCTAGGAAGGACCTTATGATCACAGGGTCCAATTCATCATGTTACAGAGGAAACAACTGAGGTCGAGAGAAGTGAGTTTCTCAAGGCGGTCACAAAGGAAGTTGTGGTGTGGCCGAGCCAGTGAGGAGAGTCGCCTGGGGTGGCTCTCCCTGGACCAGCCTCGGTTGCCCATCTTCTCTTTGAGGCACTGGCACTGAGCTCATTCCTCCCCTGTTGTCCTGCTCCTTCTGGTCTCAGGATGGTTGCTCACCCATGTCCTTTCTTTCCTCCCCTGACCCCTAGAGAACCTGTATCTTGTGACTCACCCTCCGAAGTGACAATGAATGCTTATGAAGATGATAATGGAAGAAGATGAGAGAAGATTCTCTGGGGCCTGGGCCTGGAGACATCGCCCACACCTTAGTTTGTTACCTCAAGAGAGTGACTTTAATGGTAGGAATGTCAGTGGAGTGGAAGGGAAAGTGGTGGATGTACAGACTATGGTGGTGATGCTCTATAGGGATCCGAGCCTCAAGCACCTTTGTCTCACACAGCAGCCTCTCACTCTGCCGGTAGAGAGGCAGGTGGCGGGGCCTAGTGTAAGGATTGGCCTCCATGCACCGTTCCCCTTCTCTATACCCACGACGAGGCTGATGGGCCTCTGCCTTCCACTGGGAATGGGTTCAGAGGCCTTTTTAACAGAGTTCCAGCCAGAACCTTTCAACCAACTCCAGTTGGTTATAGGGATGGAACACCTATCTGCCATCCCCAGTGTCATCGAAGGCAGATTCCAAAATAGCTGAGCCTCCATTTCTCCCAATGGGTAAAGGAGAAAATAATCATTGATTCACAGAATTGTTGTAAAATGTAGAGAACATATGTAAGAGCACAGCAGATTTCATGGAGCCTGGTACTTAGTAGCTGCTCGGTGACTATAAATTGTCATTATTATCATGTTAATGCTGAGAGTGGGGGAAGGCATGATGTCACAACTGCATTATAAGGAAGTTAATGATTGTAGAAGAAAGGTACTCGTGGCCCCCCTTTGTTATTTTTCTTTACCTTGTGACATTGCAGACACAAGTCCGGATGTTTCAGGTCAAATCTAAAAGGGTTGAACAGTTTTCTTGGGAAACCCAGTTCAGGATGACAGCTCACCACCAATTGGCTGGCTCTACACCCAGCAAGTTGGGAAGCAGTCTGTCCCCATCACATCCAAATTCTGATCATGCTACTCACAGGCGGAGGGTTGAAGAAAGTCCCTTATTCCCAGGCTCGTTCAATTTTCTATAAACCCCTATAATAGTCTGAATCTAGAAATAGGTATATTGATGATACAGTGATGGATTCACTGAGGGTTGTTATAGGTCTCAAAAAAAATCAAACATTTAGTGAGTAGGATGTTTGTTTAAAGAACACTTTTTATTTTGCAGAAATTGGGAATGCTTTAACTTATTATTTTAGTATCATTTATCCATTTAATGTGCATCCTAAATGTCTCTGGCTATGTCATTATTTTCAGTGATATGTAAACTCTGAAGGGCAAGGATGATGTCTGCTTCATTTATTTTTTAGAGCATCCAGAACAATACCATGAACACGAGGTTTTCAATCCATTTGTATGCTGCTGTTGCAGATTTGAATACAAACTGTGTCCCATACTCATAAAGAACACCATTTCATTTTTAGTTTAGACTTTTAAGAACCAGAAATCATAGTATTATATGTAGCACAAATGTATACTTATTGGTTTATTTTAATTTTTAAAGCATCACTATTCATTTATTTTCTATTACAAAAGTCTGCTCAATGAAGAAAATGTGAAAAATGCTGAAAACTATGTAGAGGACATCCAATGTCATCATTCATTCCTGTGCTGGAAGATAAATCACTTTGAACATTTTGGTATTTTTCCCCCTAAATGATTCATTTTCAAGTGCTATTAATATTATCTAATCCTTCGCTCATTTTAAGACTTCCAAAACGATTCTTCTCCCTGCAATTTCCATCCTTTCAGCTCGTGATCCAGTGTTCTTTCCAGGAAGAATTATTGCTTTGTTATTTCTCAATGTATTGAATTGCATTGTGAGTTAAGGGAAAGAGTGTGCCATGAGCTACTAGTGACTGACTCCTGTTTCGAAGGAAAATTTAATCCATCTTGCCCCAATGCATTTGTTGTCCTGAGAGCTAGGTGAACTACCTTTGACTGTTTCCCTGGGATTATGTCACCCACCGAGGTAACTTTCTGTTTCAGTAGGTGATGTCAAGAAACAAAACAACACCCTTTAAGTGGATCAGTTTTGGAAAATAGAGACCTGCTTTATCTCCCAGGTCTTTGATGTGTTCAGTGGTTCCTGTAAGGATCTGCCTCTCTTTTGTGTTGATTGACAAGACCTTTCCTATATATTTGAGCAGTCAAGCAGCCCAGGAACAGAGGGTAGAGACATTTACCCAGAGCGAGCTTCTACCACCCATTGTGACTTGCCGAGACCTTGGGCAAGTGTGAGCTCAAGAGAAGAGTTGGCTCCCGCAAGAGCAGGTGAGTGCGTCTCATCTCTGTAACCTCCTTCCTCACGAGGGGAAGTCCAAGGAGCCCTGATAAGGTGACAGGTCAGAGCAGGAGCTGGGAGATCCGGTTTGGAAATAAATAACTCTGCAACCTGTTTCAAGTGATAATGAATTGGGGGTGTTCTGTAAGTGCAATGTCCACTCTCACTTTAACACCCAGGTATGTTCTGTCTAGTGGGCCGAGCGTGAGGGAGAGATTCTGGCTCCTGAAAGAGCCCAGGAGATGACCAAGCTGCAGAGAGGACAGACTTACAGTAGACTGGGATTATGTGTTAGCACCTCCGAGCTTTCCATCATCTGGATTTAAATGGAATCACAATGAGGTGCCATTTCAGCAGAGGCACAGAGCAGAGGCATCGGGCAGTGAAGGGGACACACTGTTATAGAAGGCCACCAAGTCAGGAGCGGGTTTCATAATATCTGTGCGTGTCCAGGCTTTGTGGTGGGTTGGGCTGGTAAAAATATAGAAGGGCGTACAATTATTATTTACCTGCCTCCCCACCTTGATTCCACATCCATCCACGACACTGAAGATATAATTTTAAGCAAACATGTAACATGGCAGCAAATACAGTGGTTCTGAAGAAAAAGAATGTGTGTGTATCCATGTATTATCTTAGGATATGCATAATTTGGGGTGTGATTCATATTTTGTGTTCATTTTGAAGAGACCATTGGAACAGCTTTTTTTGTTTTTTTTTAACACCCAAGTCAAGCCCAGCAGTTGGGCCACAATAAGGAAAAGCCTGAGGTTGCCCCTGGAGGGTTGGATGTCCAGTGAGCACCTGGGCCCACGGAATCCATATTGGAGTCAGTGAGAGGAAACGTAGGGCCCCTGTGGTGGAGTTCGTGGGCACCTGCAATTTCTCGGCTTGTTTCTTCTGAAATGCTAGGAGCGGGGCCCTTTGGTATCAACCTCGTTGGCTGCCCCACGGAGGGCAGCTGGATCAGCTAACAGACTCTCTTTCCTTTCCCTCTCCCGGGAGCAGCATGAAGCTGGCGTACCTGTTCCTCGGCCCCATGGCCCTCCTCCTCCTGGCTGGCTGCTGCTGTGTCCTCAGCACCTCCAGCGGGAACCTGCGCACCTTTGTGGGCTGTGCCGTCAGGGAGTTTACTTTCCTGGCCAAGAAGCCGGGCTGCAGGGGCCTTCGGATCACCACCGATGCCTGCTGGGGCCGCTGTGAGACCTGGGAGGTGAGTCCAGGGCAGGTCCACTTGGCCTGATTTCTAAGCATCTGCTTTTTCCTGCGGAGTTTAAAAAAACACCAATTATTTTCCTGGCTGGTGTGGCTCAGTGGTTGAGTGTTGACCCATGAACCTGAAGTCTAGGTTTGATTCCCTGTCAGGGCACATGCCTGGATTGTGGGCTCGATCCCCAGTAGGGGGTGTGTAGGAGTTAGCTGATCAATGATTCTCATCATTGATATTTCTATCTCTCTCTCCCTTTCCCTTCTTCTCTCTGAAATCAATTAAAAAACTCACACAATTATTTGGCGTGCTCCAAAAAAAAAAAAAAACAACCTGAAAGAAACCTGATCTTGTCCCTCTAATAATGCATTGGTAAAATTAATAATTTTACTTGCGTGTATCTGTGTATTTGGGAATCATCTCGGGGAGGCTAAGACGTGCTATTATTCTACCCACTTGACAGATGACATGGAGGAATCTGAGGGATAAGTAACTGCAGAGTCATGTTTATTCCTGTAGTGCAAAGGTGGGAATAAATTCTTGGTCCAAGCAAGTAACCAAAACTCTCACAGTGTTCTCCCAGCTGTGATGACGCCAGCCAAGGGACAGCCCAGAGCTGTATAGCGGGTGAGGGTGGGTCCTCAGTCCCGCCTCAGTGCCTCTCCCAAAGCCCTGCCCCCGTCCCACCCACTCAGGATTATCACTGGCAGAGCCATTAAGTTCCTTGATATTGAATCATATTCAGTCCTTTCAGCAGCATTGAATTTAAAATGGGGATAAAAATCTCAAAGTTAGAACCCTATAGGGCTGTGATGAGGATGTGTTTGCTGGGTGAGAAGAGAGAAGGCCATTCGGCACCCCATCAAATTACACTGAGTGGCTGCTAACTCTTCCCCCTGAGCTCTGAATTGGTGATAATGAAGGACCAGCTCTGATCTTGTCACCAGCTCAGAAATCATTAAGGACCACCCACTACTGCCAATTCAGTGCCCAACTTTCAAGGTCTGTAGCAATGTGACGCCTGGCTGTTTCCCCAGCTGCTATACATAGCCTGAGGTCTGGCCTTGTCAGATTGATTTTTAAAGGTTTTATTAAACACCCTTCATGAGATCTCACCTTCGGTCCTTTTTGTATCCTTTCTCATCCCCACCTGTCATCATCAGACTTTTTCTTTGAGGCCCATCTCCTGAGCTGACTCCTTCCCAGGGGCCTTCTGACTCCCTGGTCGGCCTATGACTCTACCCTGCCTTGCGTCTTACTTCCTTGTCCACAATACGACTCTAGATTTGAAGTTTTTTCAGGGCATAGGTGAATTCTTGCACCTTTTACAGCTCTTGTCAAAGTCATGTACGAACAAGGCATTCATAAATACCTGTTGATTTACATGGGATTGACCTCTCCCTGGAGTTATGGTGTTAATCCTCTCGCTTAATCCACACCAACTTAGAAGCCCTTGAGCGCCATGAGAGGACACTGCCATTAGGAAAGCTGTCCTTCTGTTCAGGGACTCGGACAGCAATCTACTGTCACTTAGACAAATGATGGCCCCACGACAGGGATTGGGTTATGGTGATGAACCTCCGAATTAAATGAAACACCAAATTAGCTTTATTTTTGCATCATTTAGGGGCTTGAGACCTAGTAGCCAAATGAAAATGTAGTTGCTAAGGATACTGTGGCTGTGACTTGACGTCACACATTCTCAGGGAACTTTGACACCTTCTCATATTCAGGGTTTGGCCTGGTGGTGACCCCTCTGCTTCAATTCCACTTGGGGGCTCTTTGGAGCTCTTTCTGGGCCCAAGTCTCAAACCACCATTTCCCTCGATTCTGTCTTCTTCTTCTTCATTGATGAATGTCTTTAATTGGATCATGGTCACCCACAGGAGGTCACAGGAGAAATGGAAGCAGCAAGGCCATTAGAGACAGGATTCTCCTTGATGCTAGCTAGCTTTTATTTATGCCTTTATTGTGCTGTGAAAAGGGAGGTTACTTATAGAAAATAAATAAAAGGATGAGCTTTACTTTCCCAGCAATCTGAAAATTTCTGAGATAAAAAGCACTTATTTTTGGTAACTTAACTGGGAGCACATCTGAAAATAGGATGTTCATGATGAGAAAGTGGCTGCATTTACTTTGAAGGTCGAACGTTGCTGAAAATAGCCTTTGCTCATGGCCTAGGTTTAGGGTTTCTGGATTTAGCAAAAAATAAACCCAAAACAGAACAAAACCACAATGCATTAAACTTGGATGCCAGAGAAACACAACTTTTGGGGGGTATAAGTCTGCCCCATACTGGCCTGCTCTTGTTGTGTTGGCTGTTGTCATTCTTTTATTTGACCATCTAAGGCAGCGGTTCTCAACCTGTGGGTCGCGACCCCTTTGGGAAACACATATTACAGTGGTTCTCAACCTTCCTAATGCCGCGGCCCTTTAATACAGTTCCTCATGTTGTCGTGACCCCCAACCATAAAATTATTTTCGTTGCTACTTCATAACTGTAATTTTCCTAGTTATGAATCGTAATGTAAGTATCTGATATGCAGGATGTATTTTCATGGTTACAAATTGAACATAATTAAAGCATAGTGATTAATCACAAAAACAATATGTAATTATATATGTGTTTTCCGATGGTCTTAGGCGTCCGCCCCCCAAAGGGGTCGCGATCCACAGGTTGGCAACCCACAGGTTGAGAACCGCTGATCTAAGGGAAAAGAGGCCAGTGCCCTGACTAAATAAATAGTCAGGTATTGCATGTTTAAAACATTCTTGTGGCACCTCGGTTGAAAAGCGCTGTTCTAATGGCTCCCTGTTTTCTACCTGTGGGGACAGAAGCCCATTCTGGAGCCCCCCTACATCGAAGCCCACCATCGAGTCTGTACCTACAACGAGACCAAACAAGTGACCGTCAAGCTGCCCAACTGTGCCCCGGGGGTCGACCCTTTCTACACCTACCCCGTGGCCGTCCGCTGTGACTGCGGGGCCTGCTCCACTGCCACCACCGAGTGCGAGACCATCTGACGCTGGCGTGGCCTGCAGCACGGATGGCAGCCTTGAGCTACGCAGACCCACCGGCACGGGCAGCACCAGCAGCACCAGCAGCGATGACCCCTGGATTTGAGGACTGTTTAATTTGGACCACACTGTGGAGGAGGTTGCCTGTCTCCCTTGGGTTCAGCTCAGGCACCAGGCCCGGAGGCAGCACACAGCTAACAAAATGCAAAGCCATATCTGTGCCTTCACTAGCATAAGTTCTCCGGTTCACACACCTGCAAATTAATTTTCCTCTACCTTGAAGCTCAGGACATAATTTGTATAGCACCATCGTGGGTTTATAACACGCCAGTGGTTTCAATGCAGTGGGCGTAATTAGGAACTGAGGCTAGGAAGTCTTTAAATTCTCATGTCCTCCTTAATGACTGGCCTCCAATAGATTTATGACGAAAGGACCAGAAATCAATAAAACCACTGCTTTAGTCCCCCTGCCTCCACCCCAAATCCCACTGCAAGCTTCCTTAGAGAAAGTCCTCCCTCTCCTTGGAACTCGGCAATTATTAAAGAAGGTAGGGAAATGGTAGCTCAAAAGGAAAGGAATCTGGATTTGGGTGATTCTTTTTTCAAGCAAAATTCCCTGGGTCCCCTCAAGATCCTTAATAAAGAGGCTCCTTTTAAATAAAAGTTCTCTGAAACAATAGGGAATGGCAGCTATCATTTACACTTAAAAACTTACAAAATTAAACTTGTGTTTTTAGACTCGTGGGATGCTCTCCCAAAGCTATGCCCCAAATGATGAGCCACAAATATCCTTTCCCATTTATAGCCTATTTGAAATTGAAATTGTAATTTTTTTTTAAACTCAGAAAAAATGTTTGTAAGGGGTAAGACTGCATTGCTGGCTCGGGGAACGTGATTGTGTAGCTGTTGCCCTCTCTAAAGCCTCTGGCAGCTGGTTCTCTGGCTCTTTTAAAACTCCAGTGCTTTGCAAGTGTCTTTAATTCTGACATTTTGGGGGTTGAAATCGACCTTGTTCCTTTTCCACAATATGCCGTAAGAATCTTATTACTGCAAATAAAGCCTGTCTTCTGTCTTTTGAATTGATGAGAACTTTCCAAAATAGTTTTTAATACACCTGGGACAACAATAACAAACCCTCTTTAAAATGAACCATGAGGTTCCTTGTACCTTCATGTAGGTCAGGATGTTGTGTTTAGGAAGGAACACACAGAACCGGCTGGGTAGCGTGAGTCCCTGAAGTTTCTATCCCTGACGCATCACCGCTGGGAGCCAGGAGTCCTCTTTGAGTGGGGGAATCAAGGAGTCCCCACGAAAACAGTAAAGCAAAAGTTGGGATGATGGTCAGGGACTGGGATGCTGAAGTGGACATCCAGGAGCAAAATCCACCCCTCTTTAGTGCAGGTCTGTTTTGGGAGGCAAGAAAGTCAACCCTAGCATGACAAGGAGTTGAGTGCCGGGGCCTCTGCGTGGACGGTGGGTGGTGACAGGGGGTAATACCGGGTAGCGCCACTCACATGTTCTCAACCCATCCCTGAGCACGTCCCTCTGGACTTTTTGAGAGAAAGGGCTGCTTCTTAAGGAAACTTAGGGTGAAGAGGCAGAGGTTATGGCTGGCCAGAATTTGAGAAATTCATCAGTAAGGGCCCTGGCAGTAAACAAATGACACACTGCAGTGGGACATTGAGGAGAGTTTGAGCAGAGTTAGGGAAACCAACAAGGGCTGTGAAACACTTCTAAACACTTGTTTAGAAGCAACGGGCAGCCCTAGGCTAAAGCAGTGGTCGGCAAACTCATTGGTCAACAGAGCCAAATATCAATAGTACAACGATTGAAATTTCTTTTGAGAGCCAAATTTTTTAAACTTAAACTATATAGGTAGGTCCATTGTTATTAACTTAATTAGGGTACTCCTAAGGCGAGCCACACTCAAGGGGCCAAAGAGCCGCATGTGGCTCTCGAGCCGCAGTTTGCCGACCACGGGTAAAGGAACAAGAAGGGGAAGTGACTATCAGACCCCAAAGAGAACTGTAGGAGAGGGACGCATAGGAAGATGCAGCCATCACCAAACTGAGGCCTGGTGAGGAGGGAGGCTGGCACACACCCCACCTCACTCTGCTCGCATGCCTGGATTTCCTGCCAAATCAAGTGGAAGGCAGGGAGTGAGGGAGCCCATTGACCCACTCCATAGATGCCAGCCTCCTGGGAAGCAGGGGGCTATGTTTGCCTGGCAGGTAAGGTGGACACGCCCTTCAATAAGGCCATATAAGGGATGCACTGGTGAGGGGCGCGGGAGTCACAGGAAGCTGGGCTGGATCGTGGCAGTCCTTTCTAGACTGGGGGTGATGGCAGGAGAAACTGCCCTGAAACCGAGCTTCCCGGTGTCAGGGGAAGGGAATGGGGTTCTGGAGTAACAGACCAGTCGTGACCTGCGGCCAGCGTAATTGCTGTACCGGCAGCAGAGCGCCTGGCAGCCAGGGGACTCCCATCTGCAGGGTCTCTGGGGCTGTTCCTAGTCCGTGGTGTTCAAACACTTCCATAGTAAACACACATTGTAATTAGAAAAGTTATTAATTAAGAGGAGGAGACCATCTCTGTCAGTGCTCAACTCAAATCCTTTCAAATGTTTCTCTTCACCTTTCCTTTCTCCTTCTCTCTTTCACTCCCCTCACTTCCACAAGTATTTATGAACTCTAATTTTGTGCAAGGCACCATGTTTGGGAAATAAAGCTATAAATATTACTGCATTGTATAGCTTTCTGGCTGTAAGCAGGACACTTTTTATTAATTTTTTGTAATTCTTGTGTCAACCGCACTCAGAGGCATTGTTGTTACCCTTCTTCGGGTGATGACAACAAAGCTCAGAAAGGTCAAGCACCTGGCCCCAGAGAGACAGCGGATAGACAGCGCGCGCCAGGTTCCTCTGACCCAGAACCAAACTCTCCCTACGGAGCACGATGCCTTCCTTCTCGGAGAGCTCCTTCCGAGTCACTCCTGCCGGAGAAGCCTTTACATTATTGCTGTCAGCCTCTCTCCCCCCGATGATTAAGTTTGCAGTTTCTTCTGGAAGTGCCTAATGCAGACTGGGGTTGTTTTATGGAGGTTGCAAATTTTCTCTAGTTTCCTGTATAACCTCTAGGAAGACAATGCTTTACTGTTGCTCAAATCACAGCTGATACCAGGAGAGACTGAGAGGGGTGGGGGGAAGGAGCAGGGCCTCGGAGGGGAATTCGGAGAGACTGCTGCTGAGAGGAAGGCAACTCGCTGCCCAGGTAATGTGAGCGCTGGGTGTAGGGGAATGATGGTGCTTGTAGGGGAGCGCTGGATAAAACCAACTCTCAGCAGCTCCTTACTCTTGGAAATACATTTATTTTGCAATTAACAAAAGGTAAGGGGAATTTCCCAGACTTCCTCTGGCAAGAGCATGTTGGAATGGAGAGTATGGATTCTCACAGCTCATTCTACCTCTGGGTTTATTAGCTCCATGGATGGAGATGAATGTGATTGAAGGTCGAGGCTGAATGGCTGGTTGTAGCGCTTCTGGAGTGAAGGGGCTGCTAAAGGCCTCCGAGGAGATGGTTCCTATTAAAGGAACAAGAAATAGGGAAAGGATGAGAACAAGAGGAGCAGGTGCAAAGCACTGTGACCCGGAGGGTGAGGCAGAGACTTGTCTCGAATGGAGAAGAATGTGAGGGGTTATTCTATTCTCTGTTCCAGGTCCTCATTACGAGGAGTAAAGCAAACAGTTCCTAAGGTTTTGGCTTTGTATTTGCCTCTTAAGTTCTTCCGGCTGTGCCATTTCTGTAGCATACTGGGTAACTGAGTTAACAAAAAAGATTTCCTGATACACAGAATCAATTACATGCTTTGACCTTGATTGTTAAAAAATTGGGGCTTCTGGCCCAGCCGGTGTAGCTCAGTACTTGAGCGTTGACCTATGAACCAGGAGGTCATATAGTTCGATTCCCACTCGGGGCACATGCCCAGGTTGTGGGCTTGATCCCCAGTAGGGGACGTTCAAGAGGCAGCCGATTATTGTTTCTCTCTCATCATTGATGTTTCTATCTCTCTCCCCCTCTCCCTTCCTCTCTGAAATCAATAAAAATACATTTCAAAAAAAATTGGGGCTTCTGGAAAATCATTCAAACCCACAATACAACCACTTCCCAAAAGCCAACCAACCAACCAGACAACATTCCCCCTAAGAGAAAAAAAACATTTTATTTTAACAAAGAATGTCAATATTACCAAAATGAGAATGCTAACTTTTTTGGGGGTGAAGATAGGATTTTCAGCAAGGAACAGATGAAAATATCCCGAGGTTGCAAATACTATTATACAACTTAAAATCATTTGAAGGAGCATCTGTTCACCTAAAATATACTATACACACAATAAAGGATATAGGTGCATCATAAACGGCCATTATCTTGAGAAAGTGTACATGCAGGATTATGCACTTAAAATAGAAATTTAACCCTGTTTGTTTGCATGTTCTTTCTACAGGAAACGCACGAACAGATCATGCCTCACTGTGTTGGTCATGCAGATGCCTAAGGTGTCTACAACACGGTGAGGTGCAGCTTCAGAGGAAGGTGAGCTAAGCTTCAAGGCTCTCTCAAACCTCCAACTTCCTTTTCCCTCTTGGAGTCTGCATGTGGAAATGAAAACATTTTGAGGGACCAATGTTACTGCGTGGAATTAAGACATACAGCCTTTTAACATATGTGGGAAATGTTTTTAAGATGAAGATTTTGCTCAGCTTTTGGCTCCGGCTTGTGCAAGCTCAGAAGCTAATGCTGAAACACCTCCCCAATTGAAACATAAGTACCAGGTAATGAGAAACCGAGTCCAGCTGAAATCGGCTGCAGATTCCAGCATTAACAAATCCAGAGCCAACTTCAGGACACAGCCAAAGGAACCACGGTAGCACCCGTTCACTCATGCCAACCTCTGGAAGCTGCAGACAGGTGGAGGGACAGAAGCCAGTGGGCTCTGATCCGGGGGTCCTCTTCTTTAGCACTTAATTCTTCCTTTTTAAAAATACATTTTTAAGATTTATTACAGAGAGGAAGGGAGAGGGAG